CTCAACACAAGGTTGACATGAAAGAAGCCATATTGTAGAAAACAAACCGTATTGTAACTTTGAATGACCTCTGACTAACTAACCCAGACATGGTCTGTTGATTTTATGGCCCCTCCCAGCTGCTATAAGTTGATAACTTTGTTCTCTTTAGTTCCCTAGGAAGGTGATGATCCCCCGGCAGAAAGTCCATGTTGATAGCCATCATCAAGGACAACTAAAAGATCAGTGTATAGGGCTTTGCTCCCGTCTCTGACGCATATCCAATAAAACCAAAGACCATCAGGAACTAAGACAAGATATCTGCCTACACCTGGAGATCAGATGGATGCCCCCACCACCTGGAGACCAGCCCGCTATGTACCTGGCCTGTAATCTTTGTTCTGTAAGATGGTTCTTTTGGACATGAGTTGGCCATCTTCCCTCTTGCTATCACCAGCTTGCCTCTTTTATTTTTTTTCTTTGTTTATTGCGGTAACATTGGTTTATAACATTGTATAAATTTCAGGTGTACATCATTATACCTCTATTTCTGCATAGATTACATCATGTTCTCATATTCACCGCCCAAATACTAATTATAGTCCATCACCGCACACATGTGCCGAATTATCCCTTTCGCCCTCCTCCCTCCCCCCTTCCCCTCTGGTAACCACCATTCCAATCTCTGTCTCTATGTGTTTGTTGTTATTATATACTACTTAATGAGTGAGATCATACGGTATTTGACCTTCTCCCTCTGACTTATTTTACCTTGCATAATACCCTCAATGTCCATCCATGTTGTCACAAATGGCTGGATTTCATCGTTTCTTATGGCTGAGTAGTATTCCATTGTGTGTATATACCACATCTTCTTTATCCATTCATCCCTTGATGGGCACTTAGGTTGTTTCCAAGTCTCAGCTATTGTGGATAATGCTGCAATGAACACAGGGTTGCATGTATCTTTACGCATTGGTGTTTTCATGTTCTTTGGATAAATACCCAGCAGTACCACCTTGCCTCTTGACTATTGGCGTGTCTTGCGGCAGGCAGACGAACCCCCCTTTTTGCGTGGTAACATTGTCAGACGACACATTTTGGACCATGCTGATCATGGAAATTTGAGCAATTTCCCCTGCATTGTCAGAATTTGGTTTATGGCTACTTAAAGATGGGTCTTTTTATTTCTCGCACATTTCACCTTTCTATCCTCCCTGCTATTTTTCTTGTCAGGATGTGAGAGATTTTTTTGCTAAGGAGCCTCTGCTCTGAGGGGGTAGCCCTTTGATGTCCTGGCTTAGTGTGTGTGTATGTGTGAAAGGGGGGCTGTTCTATAAGACTCCCTTGGGTTTTCAGTTTTCCCTTTTCACCTAGAGAATCCATCTAAACTTTAGCTCAGTTTTGTAGCCATTTCCTCTTGACTGTCAAATGCCCTCAGGGAAAAAGCAGCATGGAATCCCAATTTACTCTTCTGAGTTCTTGACTTTTTCTCTATTTTAAGTCTGATAATAACTCCTTTCAGGTCTTTGATACTTTCTTAGAACAATTATTTTGAATTCTTTGTCATGCAATTCATGTATCTCCATTCCTTTGAGGTCAGTTACTGGAAGCTGACTGTGTTCCTTTGGTAGAGTCATGTTTCCCTGATTCTTCATGACCCCAGCAGCCTTGCACAGGTGTCTGTGCATTTGAAGAAGAGTCACCTCTTCCAGACTTTATGGCCTGACTATGGTAAGGAAAGATCTTCATCGGCAGGTGGGGCAGCACTGGAGTGTGCTGTGACCCTGTGACCCCAGGTCTAGGGGTGCAGGATGCCAAGTGCAGGGCTGTGAGGTGGCTCCAGCTGGGGAGTGGAGTGGGTGTGATGTCTCATTGGCTCAGGCTGCGGGGGTCCGCAACATCCACAACTGTGTGATCTTTGGAGAGAGCTGCAAGGGGTCCACAGTGGCTGCAAGGACTGTTGGGGTCTTCAGCAGTGTCTCTGGTTCTAGCAGCTAGGGACCAGGATAGGCGGCAGTGATGGCTGGAGCTGGTAGTGTGCACACACTTGATTGTGGGGGCCAACTACAGGTGCCTGTGCAGTGGCAAAGGCCGGCTGCAGACACACATAGGGGCAAGGGCTGGGGTTGGCAGCAGGAGTGAGAACCAACTGCTGGTGCACCATCAGCTGTGGGGGTCCTGGCTATCAACATGCACTCATGTCACTGCAGGTTCTAATGTCACTGAGGGCATGGCCATGGAAGCCAGTGATGGGAGTCAGGCTGACAGCGTGCAGGTGCCCCTGCAGTGAGCCTGCAGTGGTACCAGTCAGTGAGAGGAGTCAGGGCTGAATCTGGGCACACACGTAGCTGTGAGGGCCCTGGCTGATGGCGTGCACCCCTGCGGCTGCTGGGGCTAGCACTGAGTGCACACATGATGGTGAGGGTCAGCTGTGGGGGCCTAGGCTGGCATCTTGCATGCATGCAGCTGCAGAGGCTGGGGCTGGCTGTCCTTGCAGATCCCAGGCTGAGGGGTAGATGGGAGGGAGTGGGGAGGAACTCCAGCAGCTGGCATCTGTAAGCTTGAAAACCTGTGGGGAGAAAACCTCAGGGTCCAGGGTTACTGTACTGGCTGTTGGTTTTCAGCAGTGAAAGCTGCTGGGGTTGGGGGTCCTCTGTGGAGCAGATGGCTGGGACCCTTGACAAGCTCCTCAGTGATGAAAGCTGGGGGAGTCTACAGCATCCATAAGGGCTATTGAAATCCTCAGCTGTGAAGGCTGCTGTGATCCTCTGCAGAGCAGGCCACTGAGAACCCTGGTCACTCCTGCTGTGTTGCGGATATTGGTAACCTCTGCTCTTCCTTGTTGCTAGCTGCCTCTAGATGTCTCAGCTTTCTGGTGTCTTTTTGAGGTGAACCCAAAGCGAGCCCTTCAGGTCCTTCACGCGGTGACCTGAAAGGCTGGGGAAGCTGGTTGCTCACCTCGCCCTTCCTTTCCTGGTGCAGGAACTCTTTGGAGCTGAAGTGTTCCCTCTTGGTGCTGAGCAGTGCAAGCCTGGGGAATGGGATAACGCAGGCAAAATGAAGCTGTTCTTTCTACCCTTTTTGTGTGGAATTCTCAGGTTTTTTGTTCCACTATGTTGCTGATGCTTCTTAAATGGACTCCTGAGCTCTCCCGGAGCTATTGTCAATCATGGATATCTATCTAGTTGTTGATCTTTGTTGGGGGATGGTGGCTGGGGTCTCCTACTCTGCCATCTTAGTGATGTCACCACCTCGGCTCTTTGATACTTTAAAGAAAATATTTAAAAAATATTTTATCCAGCATTCTATTTGTTTTCAGCTAGAGAATTAGTCCAAATAACCTAGACTGCCATTACCAGAAGCAGATATCCTCTAATGTTTTCAAATTGTCTGTTGGTCACTCTTTTGGACTTTTTTTTTTTTTGTGAGGAAGATTAGCCCTGAGCTAACATCTGATGCCAATCCTCCTCTTTATTCTGAGGAAGATTGGCCCTCGGCTAACATCCGTGTCCATCTCCCTCTACTTTATATGGGACCCGCCACAGTGTGGCTTGACAAGCGGTGTGTCGGTGTGCGCCCTGGATCTGAACCTGCAAACCCCGGGTACTGAAGTGGAGCTCATGCACTTAACCACTATGCCACTGCGCCGGCCCCCTCTTTTGTTGGACTTTTGTTCAAAGATCTGTCAGTATATCTTTTCTACCAATCTGGAACCATTTAACCACTTAAACATTTAAACCATTCAAAACCATTTAAACATTTAAACTCAGAATTCTCTAGAGCCAAGTCTAAGCCCACTTAGTCTCTCCTGCTATTTATTCAGATGTGCACAGAGAAGGGGCATGAATACAGCCCCAGGGGCCTGATCCATTTGACTGGTTCTGATCCTGGGCAAAGGGTTGGGAGAGTGGTCCTGTGATCCTGATCCCACTTACCTAGTCCAGCTAGATGTATGGTCCTACAGCAGTTGGATTTCAAATAGTTCGTTCACACACCTAGATCATCCTCTTTACCCTGAGATTTCACTCCACTAAGGATTTTTCATTCTTGGGTCACTGTTGACTTTCCAGTTCTCTTCCTCTTTCTTGGATCTAAATTGTCTCCTGTAGGATGTTAATTCTTTTTATTTTTCAGACTATCTCCTAATGTACTACTCCTTCTCTCTGAACTACATTAGCAGTCTAGAAGGCCTGGATCCAAAATAAAGCCTTTTTACTTTCTAGGCTAAAGCACCTTGTCGGGTGACAAACAATGACATTTATCAAGCACTTACTATGTGTGCTGAGTGTTTTACTCATTATCTTGCTGAACCTTTACTGGCCTGTTGTGTATGATTATTTTGGTTATTTTGAAGATTAATATTATATGTGAAAGATTTGTCTTACAGATTTTGTACATTTCAGTTATTTTCTTATCTTTGTTGTTTATATTTCGTCTCTCTTTATTTCAGTTTGGATCTTTGATTTATTTCAGTTTAGATCATTTGATCTAAAAGCTCTCTTTTCAAAGATGAATAAACTGAGACTCAAAGAGTTTAATTTTTCAGCATCACACAGATAACGTGGAGCAGAGTTAAGTTTAGACCACAAAGAATGCAGAATAGTATAGAGAGTTCCCTTATACCTGTGGTTCAGATTCCCTAATGTTAATATATAATCACATTACAGTGATCAAAGCTAAGGAGTTAATGTTTTGGTACAATACTATTAGTTAAGCTGTAAATTTTATTCTGATTTCACCAGTTTTTCCACTGATTTCCTCCTTATGTTCCAGGATCTAATCCAGGATGATGTGTTGCATTTAATTTCATGTTTGTTTCCTTCGTCTCCACCAATCTTTGACAGTTTCTGTTTTTTCTTGTTTTTTTGTGACCAGTCCATTTTTGAAGAGTTCTTGTCAGGTATTTTGTACAATTTCCCTCAGTTTGGGCTTGTCTGATGTTTTCTCATGACTGATCAAGATTATGCTTTTTTGGTAAAAATACTGCTGATGTGATACACCCTTCTCAGGACATCATATCAGGGGGTACATGATGTTGACATCTTATAACTGGTGATGTTCACCTTGATCACTTGGTTAAGGTGTGTCTACCAGGTTTCTCCCCTGAAAAGGTGTTATTTTCCCTTTATAATTAATATATATTTGTGGAGAGATACTGAAACCCCGGGCCCTCCAGGACTGGTTCAACTGACCCAGTCCCTTATCAACAGAGTAATGAGAATTGTCTTTCAGAAAAACTGCAAAGTCATGTAGCCAGAAAAGTGCATAAAATAGTAAATCACGGGGGCCAGCTGATGGTGTCATGGTTAAGTTGACGTGTTCCGCTTTGGCGGCCTGGGCTTTACAGGTTCGGATCCTGGGTGTGGACCTACGTACTGCTCATCAAACCAATGCTATGGCGGCGTCCCATATACAAAATAGAGGAATACTGGCACAGATGTTAGTTCAGGGCCAATTATCCTCAAGCCAAAAAAAAAAGAAGAAGAAATCATGATCTGAAATGATATAACTACAAATAATTCCTCAATTAGGCCTTGAAACTAAAGATCCTCCTCCGCATGGAACCCAAGGACGGGGACATGACCCAAACTTGAAAGTTGGACTCTTATCAGAGCAGGGGGCGGTCCCTCATGCAGGAAGATCTGGTGTTAAAATTCCTTCCCCATCTCATCAAAAATGTTTAGAACCCCGTAATAAATGCTTAGAACTGTGTCATAAATGTTTAAAACCTTACCACAAATGCTTGAAGCCCACCAATGAGAATTTGTCCTACCAGCATTTCCGTAGACCAGACTGTTCTTCCTAACGTCTTAAATTTCGCCCCAAATCCTGAACTGGGGAGACAGATCTGAAGGCACATACCCCCGTCTCCCTGAAGATTCATCTCACAGAATAAAAGCTGATTTCTTCCCCCAGAGGCTGATGCCGTGATTAATTGGCTTGTTTATGTGCATGGGGCAGAGAACCCCAATTTTGTGGGGTAACGATACTTTTCCTGTTTCTCTGTAAACTTTTACACACTAATTTTAGCATCTATTAGTTGCTTCGTGTATATTTTATGTTTTATAAAGCACTCCTTTCTGGAGAGAGAGAATAGTATCAGATTTTTACATTTTGCCTGTGGAACCAAGGTGACAATATGGGGCAGTTCAGGTTGAAATCTGAAGACAAATTTGATATCTGAGTTTGAACTGAGGTAGAAAGATGATGTGTCATAGAAAGGTATAACCTGGAAATATGGATCAAAAGTATAGATGAAACCCAGATGCAACTGGCATCCAGAGTTAAGACCAGGCTGTCACATTAACAGAGAAATAAAGGAAACTTGGACAAGACACATGACCTAAAGGATCAAAATAATAAAAACTACTCAATTGTACTCATTGTTCTGGTTTTACTTTGCTTGCATTGGCCACATCTATTGTTTCTTCTCCTGTCTTCTCTTTCCTTTCTAATCTCGGAAAGGGACTTTAATGGGGTCATGAACAAACCTGACTCAAAGGAGACAGCACAGAGAAATTCCTCCCTTCGTCTCCCTTATCTGGATAGAGAATCCTTTGATGGGAGAAGTAGAGACTGTTATAGCATTTCTCATTGCTTCCTGGCTTCCCTTTTCCACTTCTCTGACAGAATGGAGGTTGGAGGTGGCCCTGCCATCTGTTAGGAAAGTGTTCTGCAAGGTCTAAGAGAGTTATGGAGGGACCAGAAGAGAGAAGGCCAAAGCAAGGGGGAATCAGGAAGTCAGGAAGGGGGGAGTACAAATCTGCAGAGTCCAGACCTTCAGGACAGGAGAATGGTGAGGGATCCTAGGCAGCAGGGTGTGCAATTGCCTGGAGCATATGTTCCTAAGGCATATTTCTCAGGATTCCAAGCAATCAAGCAATGGGGTAGAGGGTAGATGGCCAGTTGAGGCAATGTTAACCTTACAGACTGGGGATCTCTCAATGATTTTTGCTCTTTACCTTCATGTTGATAATGTTAATCCTAATGGGTTAAATTTGATGGTGGAGAGCAGGCTTCCTTTGGGATGGGTACCCATGTCTCCGAATCTTCCATTTTTTCCAAGTGGAAATCTTCCATTTCCCAAGTTTGAAAATGCAACTTTTCCTGAGAGCAGTAAGATAGCCAATCCAAAGCACTGTAAAATCAACCAGCTCATCAGAGACAAATAAAACAGTTATTTTTGAAGCACTTAAGGCTCGATACTGGTTTTCTATTGCTGCTTTAAGAAATTACCATAAATTAACTGCTTAAAATAACACAAATTTATTATCTTACAGTGTCTTTAGTTCAGAAGTCTGAAATGGCTCTCACAGGACTAAAATCAGGATGTCTGCAGGGCTGCGTTCTTTACTGGAGGCTCTGGGGAAGAATCTGCTTCCAGGCTCACTCGGGTTGTTGGCAGAATCCACTTCCATATGGTCATAGGAATGAGGTCCTGTTTTCTTGCTGGTTGTTGGGAGGAGATTGTTTTCAGCTTTTAAAGACTGCCTGCATTCCTTGGCTCATGGCCCCCTCTATCATCAAAGCCAGCAGTGGTGGGTCAAGTCCTTTTCACACTTCAGTCTCCCTGACCTCCACTTCTGCCTCATCTTTCCTGCTTCTCTTTTGTCACATCTCTGGCTAACTCCAGCTGGAGAAATTTATTAGCTTTTAAAGGCTCAGTGTGGGCCGGCCCTGTGGCTTGGTGGTTAAGTGCGCGCGCTGCAATGCTGGCGGCCTGGGTTCGGATCCCGGGTGTGCATCGAGGCACCACTTCTCCGTCCATCCTGAGGCCGAGTCCCACATGCCGCAACTAGAAGGATGTGCAGCTATGACATACAACTATCTGCTGGGGCTTTGGGGGGAAAAATAAAATAAATAAAATCTTTAAAGGCTCAGTGATTAGACTGGGCCTGCATGAATAATCCAGGATAATTTCCCTACCTTAAGATCTATAACAATGATATCTGCAAAGTCCCTTTGCCATATAATGTAATATATTCACAGGTTCTAGGATTTAAGGCATGGACATCATTGGGGGACATTATTTGACTTACCATAGGCTCAAACAACACAAGATGAAGGTTTTGAAATGGGTTGGGGAAGAGATGTAGGGGCAGGACAAGTTCTGGAGTGTTGCTTATAATAAGCCAAGGGACCATTAAGAGGATACCACAGTGATGGGCAGGAATGATAGAGAGGAACAGGAGGCGCTGGTCCCTTAAGTGCGTGGGAGATGAGGATTTAAACTGGAGAGTCTCAGTTGGAGGCAGAGGTGATGGAGTACAACATTGCCTTCTTAAATTTACCGGGCTGGCTTTGCTGAGGAAAGCAGTGGTGGATGGAGTGAGGCTGATCTCTGGAACTCAAGTTCCTTGAGGATGTGGATGTCTATCTAGCCCTGGTAGTCCAGGCTGCACACAGGCCAGCAGCAGCAGACAAAGCAGAACTTGGAGAATCCTGGAGTAAGTGACTTGCTGAATCCAAGACATAGCTTTCTGGCCATCTGTCTGCTTTGCTGGCAGTTCTGTGAGAGCCCTTTGAATCCTCTGACTCTTCCTGTCAATGGCACTGGCCCTGACGGTATTGGCTTCTGAGAAGCTCTTGCACATTCCTACATGTATCCTGACTCCCCTCCCTGCTTTCCACTTCCTCCGAAAGGAAACTCTGGCATAGCCCTGTCATTGGAGACCAGCTGTCTAGTTTAGACTCACATGCTAAGCTGGACTCTTCACGTGACTTGTGTCCCATTCACTCAGCCCACTCTTTACCCCAGTCATTTCTAGGGCAGCCAGATTTGCACAGGTGCAACCTGACGTCCCCTTGCTTCCTTTCTGCCTTAGAATCATGCGACACCATGGTGGGGGGATGGTGCAGAAAGTAAGTGGCATCCACATCCACAACTTAGAAGTGAGTGGGAGTTAATATTCCATGGCACAATCTGTGACCAATGGGGAATGGGCGCTTGTGGTAAATCCTCCCCACTTCCTTCCTTGAGGTGGATATGTCTGAAGTGTATTCTATACCAGCTCCTCAGTAGGTCCCAGTGAAACTGATGTCCAATTGTCCACAGGAGTGATCAGCTCAATAACACACCCTTATATTGGCTTTTTGCCATCCTCGATTTTATCCTCCCTGCTCCCTGAATGCTCTTCCCTGAAATCATTTCCCAGAATAAATTACTTGCATGCAAGCTGCATCTCTCAGGTTCTGCTAAGACATGTGCCAACTATGTTAACCGGCAAAGCTGAGGAAAATCTTTGTCAGAATCAAGAGTTTAATAAGACAAAGCTCAGTCTCTTTTTACAATACCCACCTATGAGTCATAGGCCAGGGCTGGAGAAAACAGCCTGAAGCATCTCTCACCACACTGCCTGACTCCTAGGGAGATACATGGCTCCCTTTTACGTGCCCTTTTAACTGCAGGCCAAGTTGTAGATGACTTGCTTATGTAAACAGAAGAGGCAGAGACGCATAGACGTGGCATTGGACCAGTATTATAAACTGCTTATACAGATGTCACGATGAGACAAAGTAGAAAGCCTATGAAATATCAATTAGCCCAATGAATGGATTGCTGTATTTTAGGCCTGTTGTTTGGAAGGAATTAGGAAGAGGCAAAAGCATAGAGCCAGAGTCCTCATAAATCTTTTATCTAAAAATGGGTAGTAGGAGCTTAGAGATTGAAAGATCTTTAGAGATGCTAGAAAGCCCAGACACTACAAGGTTGGAATGAAAACAAACACCCCAGAAAAGAGGTGTACTCAGCTATGAGTAAAATACATGGTTTTAAAGTGCTGACTGCCTTCTTTCCTCCAGCGAGACCTTGTTTCTAGCGACAACGTATTTGAACTGTAATTTTCTTGTGTGGAATTTGGAGATAGTAATAATTTTGTTCTGATGATATGTTGTAAACATCAATCGATATAATGTCTATTAAGCAAAATTAACATAAAACAAACATTTGGTGAGACCCAACCGTGTACCAGGACTGCCCTGGGCAGCAGGGAACACAGAGATGAATGTGACATGGTCCTTGCCTTGGAGGAACTCCCAAGGTACAAAGACAGAGACCGGCACATGTGTGAATATATAGAAGGCAATGTCATTAATGCAGGAAAGAAAAACCTGAGGGATCCAGAAGAGAAGCAATCAAATTTTCTGCGTGTTGGAAACAAGAAGTTGATGTCTAAGCTAGAAGGTTAGTAGGTTTCTTAATGCATAGAAAGAAATGAAATGTGTGGGGGAAGGGAAGGACATTCTAAGTAGATAGAAGAGCAGAACTAAAGGCATATATGTGCAAGTTAGAAACGGAATGAAGAAAATAGTAAGTTTGTTTTGGGATTTATTGAATTTAAAGTTCCCTTGAAGCCTCCAAGCTGTTATTATTCAGTCAGTAGTTGGAATTAGGAGTCAGAGACTCAGATGATGGAATGGAACTGGACATAAGGATTTGGAAGTAATTTGCGTGTACATAATTGTTGCTGTGAGAGTGGAGAAACTGCTCGGAGAAGGCAAGTGTATTGAGTGAAGCAATGATTGGCTCAAGGACACACACCTGTGGAATATCACTATTTAACGGGTCGAGAAAGGAAGATGAAACAGGATGTTAAAGTGGAAGTTTTCACTGAGACAATAAGAAAAAAATAGATATAAAAATTTCAAAGTAGGGTGTCAGATCACCAGGCAGAAATTTAAAAGTAGGTGAGAACGTTTTGCTACCTCTCATGTCAACAAGAAAAATATGAAAGGATCTGCAGAGATTGATAGAAGTATTTATGATGAGGATATTTTTGGAAAAATCTACTCTGGGATTCCTGCTATTTCTCACTCATGTCTGTTGGGAAGAGCCTCAAAGGAGATCACTTGGAGATCTTGGTATGTAAACTGAGGATTTAGAGTGGAGGGGACAATCGCCTGGCATCTAGCACATGCCTTAGGAAACATAACATGAGGGAAAAGCCAGCTGAGCTGGCCTTTTGGAAGCAGCATAGTGAGAGATAATTGCATTTCCTTCTGATGGTGTGTCCAAGGTGCATGATCCTGGAGAAAGGATGTGGACCTCATGGTAAGATGTTCATATAATGTCATTTAAAATCTTATCTTGACAAAGAGACCTTATGTCAGACAGAGTTCTGGTTGGAGGTTTTAGTAGGGGAGCCTCCAATATACCCACTAATTTGCTCATGAGAGAAAGAGCCAGCTTTACATTCCTGCCAAGTCTGGAGACAACAGAACCTCCTTAACACAGTACTAGTCAAGGCAGAACCTTCTCATTCTTCTTCCCTCCTTCTTCCATCCTATCCCCAATTCAACCATGGCAAGTTTAAAAACAGCAACTAGGAGGAGGTAATACAGAAAGAGAGAAAAAGCGAACCTCACCTCTTTCTCGAAGGTAGTCAATCTGCTTTCAATTGTGCTCTATTTGGTGCATGAGGAGGGGAAAGGGCTGTTATATCTTTGAATGAAGATTGAAATGCTAATTAACATATTTAAGTAAGAATTTCTAATTTCTAAATTTAGACTCTATGACTTAAATCATCTTTGGTTTTATGTATTTACCAAGAGTAACTGCCCCAATTTTATATGCAGGGACTTGGGAAAGACATCTCCTAATGAGAAAGTATAAATGGACAGTGAAATACCAAAATAAGTTTGCATTTTGAATAGATCCCACAAGTTGTGCTTTTTCAAGGCTTGATATGAAGAGGATTTAGACAAAGAAAGAGAGAAGAAAAAGCCAGAGAAGAAGTCAATAAGATTAGAGTTGTACAAACCAAGGGAAAGAGAAGTATCAAAAATAGGGCTAGTGCAGAAGATGATTGATTTCATCCTAACAATGAGGACAATCTGGATAAATCATAAAACTATAGTGTTTTTTGAAAAACCTATCAGATATCTGAGGGTTCAAAGAATCCTAAATGAACTAAATCCAGAAAGAAATGAGCCCTTTCTAAGAGAAAACAATCTCACAGCTGCTTTAATTGCTGGAGACATAGTGGAAAAGGAAGTGAACCCACCATAAAAGGGATAATGAGAAGCCTGCCTGATTCTTAGTGAACATTTCATGGCTGCATATTGACTGGCATGACAGGTCAGAATTTTGAAGAGTCCCAGTCATGGAATAATTCTGCATACACTCACCAAATCTCTTCCTTGGAATTTTTCCACACCATCCCACCACATCAGGGCAGTGTGCTGAAAGCTGGGGGCGGGGCAGAAGAACTGAGAAAGATTTATGCCTGGGTAAAAAGGGTCTTTTATAAGAGAGGGCAGGGGTCCAGCAGGGCATAGGTGGAAGAGATGACAGAAACGTCTTTACGTTCCACTGGACCTTTACCAAGTACAGTTTAGTGGCCCAGTAAAGGCTAGGGACAACCCTGCAGAATAGATAGTTCTTCCAATATGCAGAGAGTCAGGATCAGAACTAGAAAGCAAAGAAAACTCTCCAGTGACCCAAACATCTGACCTCTAGGCAATAAAGAAGAGAGAGATCCCACAATTTAGGAAGATAATACCTAGAGAGATATCCAGATCATCACAAGTACACAGATTCCAAGCCCTGTTGAAGGAGAACTGATCCCACATTCTAAATATTTGGAATAACTGGCAAGGTAAATATAACTAAAGTTGCAAAAAGCCCAGATCCAGATCAAGCACAGATCAGATTTACTCTGTCCACAAACTCTAGCAGTCTGGCATAGGAAGAGGTATGGCTTTTTCTGGGGAAATATATTATTTACTTTAGTCTTTATTGCTTTTTTACATGATGACCTGTATACAATAAAAATTATACAGTATGAGAAGAGGCAAGAAAATGTGACCTATAATAAAAGAGTCGATAGGAGACCTGCAGATGGTCCAGATACTGGAATTAGCAGACAGCAGAAAAATGAAAAGTATTAAAAAAGAACTACTGGAAATATTAGAAATGAGAAATATATATCAGAAATAAAGAATTCATTCAATGGCTTGAATAGCAATCTGGGTACAGCAGAAGAAAGTATCCATGGATTGGAATATAGGTCCATCCAATTATCCAAACTAAAAATCAAAGAGGAAAAATAGTAGAAAAAACTACTCAGAGTGTTTGAGGCCTGTGGGATAATACCAAAAGGTCAAGAACATATATAATTTGAGTCTCAGAAGGAGAGGAGGGAGAGACAATAGGGGAGAAGAAATATTTGAATAGATAATGGCCTAGAAGTTTTCAAAATTGATGAAAGACATCAACTCACAGTTCCTGAAAGCTCAGCAAACACCAAATAGGATAAATACAAAGAAAATAACACCTAAATCCATCGTAATCAAACTCATAAACACTAAATATAAAATTAAGTCTTAAAATCAGCCAGGCAAAAAAAGGCACATGGACGGTAGAGCAACAATAAGAATGACAATTGATTTCTTATCAGAAATAATGGATGGAGAAGGCAATGGTACAACATCTTTAAAGTGCTGAAAGAAAAAAAAAAAAAGAAAACAACTGTCAACCTCAAATTCTATATTCTATATCCAGTAAGATTATTCTTGCTTTTTTTTTTTCAGACAGATAAGAGTAGAGGTAATTCATCTTCAGCAGATCTGAACTAAAAATTAATACAGGATATTTTCTGATAAGAGATGGAAGCCTGGTTTTTCAGGAAGAAATGAAGAGCACCACAAAAGGTAAAACTGTGGGTAAATATAAAAGATCTTTATATTTTCTTTAAACTTCTCTAATGAACTATTGACTGTCAACACAAAAATTTTAGCAATGTAGGCTCAGTGTGAAGAATTGACTAGTTGTCTGGTATGTCCATGGGACCAGGGCCAGGAATTCAGTTAGAGTGGTATGGTCTAGCAGGGCCAAGGCTAATGAAGCAACTTGTGTGGTCAGGATAGGTGTGGCTGTGGCCAAGGAGAGGACCTGATATTGGTTAAATGCAGGGAGATTGAGCAAATAAGCAAATATTTTGAGAATAGTGAGAGTTAGTTTCCTACTGTTAAAGAAAGGAGCTACAAATATGAAAAGAGGGGAGGCCATAACAAACCCTGTGGTATTGGGTTAGAATTGGAGGTATTGGTGTAAACTCATGGTTTTATATCGGTCTGTCTATCCATCTATCTATCAATCATTTATCTGTGTACCTACCTGCCTATTGACATACATATAGATATAGAAATAAAGATGTTTGTGTGTATACACATAAATATATTTCCTGGCTTTGCCTATTGAGAGGACCTAGAATCAATGACATGGCAGGAGCAATGAATACACCTAGATTTTGCTTTCTACTTACCATTATCTGCTAAAAGAAACCAGAACTTCTTGAAGAAATAATTGATTCTTGGACTGGGTCAGAGAAAGTACGAGATGAGTCTGCAACATCTTCATGCATCAGAAAGCAAGAAAGTGCTCAAAGAATGTTGGAAGATATGACAGAAGGGTAAGAGCCTGCTTGTGTGAACTCCTACTAGTCAAATCTGGCAATTTGAGCATCAAAAGAAACAGTGATAGTAACACGTTATGATCCATTAATAAAATGAGAATCCATGTTTCCATATTAATATAAATGAATGAATGAATGAATGGAAGAGAAAGGAAAGCTCTATCTGATGGTAGGATGCCAACTAATAAATGTGGAAGTAGTATAGTCATTAAAAAAATCACCATTCGGCCCTGTGGCTTAGTGGTTAAGTGCGTGTGCTCCACTACTGGCGGCCCGGGTTCAGATTCCGGGTGTGCATGGACGTACCGCTTCTCCGGCCAAGTTGAAGCCGTGTCCCACATGCAACTAGAAGGATGTGTAACTATGATATACAACTATCTACTGGGGCTTTGGGGAAAAAAAAGGAGGAGGATTGGCAATAGATGTTAGCTCAGAGCCGGTCTTCCTCAGCAAAAAGAGGAGGATTAGCACTGATGTTAGCTCAGGGCTGATCTTCCTCACAAACACACACACACAAATCACCATTTCAGTACCATCATAATATTAAATGATTCAGGCAAGAATCATCAATAGATATTAAAACTAGTGAGTAAAAGTTTGAATAGAAACAAGATATTTATATACTGTCAAAGCATCTTCCCACAAATTACTTATTAATTAATAAGTACAAATTACTTAGTAATTAGTTCTACAGTGAAGTCACCTGGCAGATTCCATTTTAATCAAGAGATACAAGTTAATGTTACCAGTATTAGGACAAATAGACATTATATGCTTCCTGATAGGTTTTATTGAGAAGAACACAGCATCACTTTTGTGACATGCCTGCAAAAAGTATACAACCTGAATATAATTATGAGGAAATGTCAAACAGATCCATATTGAAGGTTATTCTACGAAGTAACTGACTGTACATAACAATGATTTTTACTTCTAAAGAAGCAGCCAAATAAACTTCCAGCTTCCATCCCAGTTTAATATATAAATGGGAAGCTTTCAGTGGGGAAGACAAAAACAAGAGCAGTTAGTCACAGTAGGCAAGGCTTGGGGAAGGACCCTCTTCTCTCCAAACATTTTAACATCCTTTAGAGACTTGCTTTGTGGTTAATGAGCTCCACCTTTAAGACAAAAATCCTTGTGAAAGTTAAACCTCATATTCTCACCTTAGCATAAATTTCTTTAATCAGATAATTAAATTGCTCTCTTTTGAACACATCTCAGAAACACAAACTGAGAGAATCTTTTTTTTCCTTTTTTTTTTTTTGTAAGGAAGACTGGCCCTGGGCTAACATCCATGCCCATCTTCCTCCACTTTATATGGGAGGCCACCACAGCATGGCCTGATAACCGGTGCATCAGTGCGCGCCCAGGATCCAAACCCGGGCCACCAGCAGTGGAGTGCATGCACTTAACCGCTATGCCACAGGGCCAGCCTGCCTTTTTAATTAATTTTTTTTGGGTGGTGGTGGTTACTTGGAGCATGTGGCATTTAGGAGAAAGAAAGGACCAAGTCAGAGAAGGGGGACGCTTTGTGTAGCTGAAGGGCAACTGAAGGATGTCGGTCCCTGCAATAGTGAGAAGGATGGGTGGGGGGAGAGGAGTTGAAGATTGGGAGGAGAGAAAGCCCAACCAAAAATTTTGTCTTCTTGCAATTTTTTTTTCTTTTTTTTGTGGACACAGCTATCTGTCTTTATACCCTGCAAAATCACCCAAGTGGCCACTGTCCTATGGGAAGAAGGTATAATTACCAGTGCCTTGAACAGAACTAACGGTGGGTCAAGACGATTTCCGAGGGAATTAGTGGTGAGGTTGTAGCAGCCACCCATCCAAGCACAGTACTAAAGAAAATCATTCTCATCTGGGAGGGGTTGTTGCCCTATTAGATACATGTGGCTGGAAAAGTCATCTGGGTCCCAGAAAGATTTTAAAAATAGCCACAGATTCTGGTTGTTCTATTGCCTCAGAAATTTGTCTCCTTGTGCTATCTGATCATCCTGAGGCCAGCCCCTAAAAAGAATACTGCCTCAGAATGCAATCGGGGACATTGGAATCTCAGATAAGCAAAAAGCAAAATAAAGCAAGAACCTTGTTCTACAGTCACTTAATAATGCTCTCTATAAGTAGCCAGGAAGAAAGAAGAGGTTGTTTTCATCAAACAAAACCTGGCAGAGGGAAAAAACATGTTTAGAATACTTTGCTGTGTCCATCTAGCTTTTAATTCTATTGTCTTCTCAGATTCCGAGAGACAGGACCTGTAGTAGAGTGGCTGTAGGCAGTTGTCAACAGATCCATCTTCTTGTTCAGTGGGACCCCGAAGGGCAGAATGTAGCTCGACAGTTACAGTTTGAAGTTCCAGCAAGGCAATTTACTAAATGAGAATGTCATAAATGCCCCAGTGCTGAAGAGATTCATGTTAGGATGCTGAGTATTGGAGAATAAACTTAAGTGTCATTTGGAGGTGAGTTAGGGTGACCAGCCCATCCCAGTTTGCCTGGGACGCTCCTGGTTTTAAGTTGCATGTCTCTAACACCACCTCAGTCCCAGACAAACCTAGATGTCTGGTCACCTATCCAGCAGGTCAGCCTCAGTGATTTGTAAGTCTTTTTTCAAACTCTAAAATCCTTTTATTCTGATGCTTGTATGTGTAAGTCCAATGTTGTCTTTGTGAACTCTGTGCTTGGTATGAGAGAAAAAAATAATTGCAGCATGAGTTTGGTCTAGAGGGCAGAGCGTTGGATTGGGAATTGGTGCTTCTACCGATAAACAACTGTGTGACCTTGGGAAAAATCTCTCCTCTCTGAGTCTTTTTCTTCCCCAGAGAGAAGGAACTCACATGGATGTTTTACAACATTCCTTCCAACTCTACCATACTAAGGCTTTTTCCTATGAATTTAAGTGATCTCACGTGAGTCTTAAGAAGATGCTCTTGCATACCAATTCTCTGCTTATCTGTGGGTACGTGGAGGGGGAGTGGGTGTAGGGAGGGAGGTGGGGAAAGCAAGTAGTGGAACAAAAAATAGGATGTAGCAACAATAGCAAAAAAATTAGGAGAAATCTGATCTTTTATTCTGAGGAGGTCAGAGGACATAGAATGTCCATTTTCTTACCAGTACAGAATTCCTTTTAGGTGTGTAACAATCAAGATCCCTCTTTTCCCCATCTTGGGCCCAGAGAGGAAAAGAAGGTTGCCCAAGGTCACACAGTAAATAAGTGGCAAAAGTAAGACGTAGAGTTTATGTCTCCTAGACCGTGCTGTTTTCTTGCCAGGCTGTGCTGCTTCTGAGGTGTCCCTAATTAGAGTAACTGCTCCTTTCTCCTTTCATTTTGAACCAGAGGAGAGCATTATGTCTGATAAAAGAAAACACAGTAGACAGGGAATAATTTTCAGGCTACTGCTCTTCTTCGAACTCATTGTCCAACCCTTGGCATTGTTGACAATTTCAGACACAGGTTAAATACAGCAAGGGGAAGTCAATGCTACACCTTAAAAATTAATTGTTCAAGTACTAGGTCATTTCAGAGTAATGCACCGTGAAATTATGTTATTCTCCGGAAGAACTTCCATAAAGTTTAACATGCCATGACACATTCTTTTTCCATTGGAGTTAGTTTTTTAAAAAGTATATAAAAAGAGTCTTTGGAGTCCAGGGGTGTGTGTGTAAACATTGTTGCAGACAAAGCAGGCCGTGTTAGGCAGGACTTTCAGGGCAGCAGATGCTGCCGGATCAGATTGCTACTAAAGAAGACCCCGTTACCAGGTCGTGTCCCATAGAAGCACAGCCAGGCTGGTATCTGTGGAGGCAAGTGCGGAAGAAGTCATTAGTCTTGGTGCTTTTTACTGTTATTCACACTGGGATAATGAGATTATTGGAATATTTTTTTTTCCTAATGAGAATGAGACAGAATACCTTGGTCTCTAAATGATTTAGTCACAGAGGGAACACATTACTCTTCCCTTGATTGCTGTCAAATGCTGGAAAATTGGAATATTATACTGATATTTATCGTGATGGGCAATATTTTTCCTGCCTTCTCAGTGTCAAATGAGATGGGAAAATTATTTGTCTGAAAAGCAGAGTCCTTTACAAGGTTTGTAGAAAGGAAGACAGATGAAGATGCAGGATAAGGAACCGGGGGCAGAGGTTTGAAGAAGGATAATTGGAGGATGGCTTTTTGCTATTTCTTCTCTTTTTTCATCAGTAAAACTATCCCCTTGTTTTAATTTCCCACGGACTTCTCTTCCAGTTAGCTCACCAGTGCTTGGAGCTAATTAGACATTGTTTAGATTATGAATAGAAGGTTAATTTCAAGGGGAAATGGGTTTGTGTTGGTCTGGAGGTCATTAGTGGCAGTTAGTTAATTTGTGTTCTTTGGGAAGAAATAACAACCTGGGGCGGGAGAATTCCTTGTAGAGGGAAAAAAGGTTTTCGCTCTCTTTCTCTCAAGAACCTTTCACCTGAGACTTGTGGGCTCAAAGTTTATGGGGCCAGTACAGGCTAATTGGGTGACCTGGTGCTCTGAGATTCAACCCAGGTTGTAGGTGGCTTTGCAGCCAAGCTGAACAAAGAAATCTTGAGGTCTAACTCCTGGTCCTGCCCCACTCCCAAACTCATCCTCCAAGAAGGTCTGAAACTTCTGGAAAATATAAAAATATTAACAATTGAAACCCTCCCTGTCATCGTTACGTGCGGCTTTTGGAAGAGAGATGTTACCATATTTCTATATTATAATCAGGAAATTTTAGTGTTCTCAATGTAATGGGTGGACGAAACTTACAGCCTGAGCACTGGTCCTGTGATTGACAGGTATGACTGTTGGTTAGATTCATTGAGGTATCCTGTTATAAATACAGAAATTCAGATTGACCTACTGTGGTTCCAATTCAGTTAGTTGGGGTGAGGGCCTATTCATCTGTACTTGAGCAGGCTCCCAGGAGATTTTCTTGCAGCCATGGACATCACCTATGGCTCTTACAGGGACAAGAGATGCTCTAAATGCTTAGGAGCATTGAGAAGGGGCCAGAAATAGATGTAGAAGACAATGTGGTAATGAAGGAGGTACATGATTGTGAATATGTCACGTGGGCAAAGTTTACACCTAGAAATGTCTGGAAGCACTTTTACATTCATCATCGACTCCTCTGGCATTTTGTACCCAATTTCCTCTGAGATTAAGGATTGTATCTTCTTACCATGAATCCCTGGAAAGGGAAAATTCATTAGTGCTGGGAAAGAAGGTTTTCATTTAGCTTATATGATGCTCAAATTCCAAGTCCTCCATGAAATTTCCCACCCCGGGCCAAGAATCTCTTCTTCTTTGAAACTAATGTGTACCTCTATGGTAAACTTAGTAATGTCCAATTTGTGGTTTTGATATTTGTGTCTATAATTTAGCCCCAACTGAACAGTAAGAAATTTGAGAGCAGAAACCATATATCTTGTTTATCTCTGTATCTCATCCCTGAGGATTTCCAGAGAGCTCTGCTTATAACTGGTACCCAATCTATTTCTACTGAATTAATTAAGAAGACAAAAAGTGCCACAGAGACCATCTAACACAGTGAATGGCCCTCTACTGTACCCTGTCGCATGCCCTCTTTCTGTCTCTTGTCACTTTGTTTTCCTACTCTGATGACCCCTGCCATCATCCCAGGTTCCCAGACAATGGCTTGCCTTTTCCTTCCTTTAGCTCCTTCTTCTTTTTCTTATCCCTTTTCCTTGCTCAGCATCACCAAAGGAACATTGCTTAGCCCTTTACTGGGTCACTGTTTCCTATTGCTGCTGAGAACCATGGTGAGGTTTGAGATTCTAGCATCATTTTGCATCAAAATGCAAATCATTTCCTGGGAGGTGAGGGATGTTGTATTCTAGTCACGCGCAGTTAGCTTCAAGATAGCTTGTATCTCACCCCCAGTAAAACCACTTATTTAGAGCATATCAGTTTATTGACAAGGTCGGAGAGCAAGGCTGTCCTGAGGTGAGAAGCAAATTCCAGAGGGGTGAGCACTAATTGTTCCAGTGATTGTTTCTTTATTGGCTATGACATAATTATTCTCTTTGGGGTCATGCATTTGTCTCCAGGTTGCTATGTGGTTGTGCCCTTGGGATCAGGCCAGGGCAGAGTTTGGTCACTGAGACTCAAACTCCCAAAGCAATCAGCAAGAACCTCCTAGAGAAGGT